TCGTGGGCCGGCCGAGCACGCCGCCTCAGAGGCAGCCGGGGCTCGCCAGCACCGCGCCGGCACGAGAAAGGCCAGCCGGGACGGAGCCCTGCGGCGGGGCCAGGAGGGGCCCGCAGGGAGAGACGCCCGTGCGGGAAGAAGGAAGGGCCCGGGAACAGCGGCTGGGAGAGGGTGGTGAGCTCGCCCCGGGGCCAGCGAGCCCCGCGCTGGGCCGGGAAAGGCAGCGCGGGCTGAATTGGGTCAAGTCACGGGTAACGCGAGCGTTGAGAGGACGCGCTGTGCTCTGCGTGGCTCGGATCAGAACCAGGTTTCCTCCAGGCTCTCCTTGGCGCCCCTGCCTCCTCGGGCCTCACCCTGCTGGCGCGCAGGCTCCTGGTCTGCTCCGGGGCACCGGCAGAAGCACGGGCACCATGGCCTGCATTGCCTTGGGGGAGGAGCCTGGCTGGGGCATCTGTGCGATGACTCCCTTCGTGGGGCACGGGGCGGGCCTGGGGCCTGTGGTCTCAGGGGTCTCGACCCCCTGTGTTGGGGTGATTTCCACCAGCGCATTGGGGGGCCCGGTGAGCGACAGTGGTTTCTCCGACATGTATCTTCCTTTCTGTGCAGAAAAATCTATGTTGACTAAGAACTCTGAGCCTGGTGACTTGGCCCTGTGAGCAGCTCAGGCTACAGCATGAAGGGGCGGCCTCTCTGTGGGCTCTGAGACACGGCAGCTCTGTGGCTCTGGACCACACGATGGTCAGTGGAGATGGACATAGTGTGGAAACTGGAGCCCCTGTGCCCCTCCCTGCGCAGGCCATTGGGTGGGGGTCCCCCACATGGCCTGGCTGCCAGGCCCCACCGGGAGCCCTGCCTCCCCTCTGCATGGACACTCACTCCCTGGGAGTGGCCTTTCTCGCCTGGCTGTGGGACGTGGTCCTGATGCCCCCGCCCCGGCCAGCGCCTCCTGGTGAGACACCCTCCAAGCACAGCCCTGCGCAGGTGGTGCCTGCAGGTGGGGCAGCCACGAAGCTGCTGAAGGGCCAGGAAAGTGCCCCTTCCAGGGACGAGCCAGTCTCACACCCCCCAGAGGCCTTGGCCTCTCAGAGGCTCGGCTGTCCTTGGTGGACACCACGCTGGTCACGGTCTCTCCAATTGCAAACCTGGCTTGGTCCCCAAAGAAGTGTCCAGAGTGGACCGGCTCTCACCCTTCAAAAAGCACCCAGGCGGGAGTGGGCTTCGCGGCGGCGGCGGGTGGAGACAGCGAAGAGTTGAGCCTGGGCGGCGGCAGGAGCAGAGCGGCCGGGCGCTGAGGGGCTGTTAGGAACGTGCCGGGAGCCGCCACATTTGGGTCCTGAGGCCCGAGTCACTCTCGCTCTTGTGTTTGTATTTACACACACTCACATACACCCACTACACACACTCCCACTCACACACCTGCACGCTTTCACACGCCCACACACTCAGACACACACGCACCCTCACAACACCCGTGCACGCCCACGCACACTTACTAGCATACGAGCACAGACCCCTCCTGGCTGCCCCACAGCCTCCCTCACGCTGACCGGAGCATCCTCTCCCCGGGGGCAGGCTCGGCGCTCGCCCCGGCTGCTCCTGCTCGCCGGGCGCCTGTGAGGGGTGAGGGGGCGAGGGGCAGGCCCGCCTGCCGCCAGCTCTCCTGGCGCACAGTCTTGAATGACTGAGAATGAAAATAATATGATGAGGAAAAGACAACCCCACTGGCGTGGCAAGCAGTTTGACATAAAGGAAAACAAATACCCTGGAAGCTCAAATTCGCAGATGACTAATCGCCTGTGAACAGGGAAGAGGGCGTGCGGGCGGCTGTGGCCAGGCTCAGCCGGCTCTGTTCGCGGGGACTCAGGCCGGCCCGCCTGGCCGGTGGCCCCGGCCCTCCTCTGCTCCCTGAGATAGACCAGGACAGAGATGGCCCGGGCCCCCGGGAACCTGGGTGGAGCTGAGCCGGACAGAGCCCCAGCCGCTGCCTTGGAGATCACGGGGTGGGGGGCCGGGTGGGGGGCCCTGGGGAGCAGCCGCCGTCTCCTCCTCCCCCTGGGCTACTGTGGGCTTGGTGATGGCGTCCTCGCTTCTGTCTGCGACACTCAGGGTCAGCTTCAGGTGGTCTGTCGCTGTCGCTGTTGCTTAGACCAGCCCCTGAAATGCCTTGACATTTTTATGAGAAACTTAGATTTAACAGCAGGAAAGTGCTCTGATCTCAGCATTGGTAGCAGAGAAGCTTTTCGGGTCGGGGGGGCTTCCTGCTGCCATTTTGTGACCTGGCCAGGCAGGTGTGAGTGGGCAGAGCACAGCAGGGGGCCCCAGCTGTGTGCTCAGCGGCCCTCAGAGCTGTGTGGCTCTGTGTCCTCCGTGAACCCCGCAGGCACCACGGAGGCCCCGGGCTCACCAAAGTGCCTCGCTGTCAATCTTGAGTGGCCCTCAGGTCCACTCTGGATGCTTCTTCGGAGGCCAGGCCAGGTTTGCAATCGGGAGGCCGTGACCAGCACGGTGTCCACCAAGGATAGCCGAGCAGCAGAGAGGCCCAGGCCACAGTGGCTGCAAGAGTGGCCCGTCCCGCGAAGGGCCACTTGCCTGCGCAGGGCTGTGCTCGGAGGGTGTCTCACCAGGAGGGGTTTTGTGTTGATGATTTCTCATTCTTTGGGTAGATGCCCGAGAGCGGGGTGGCTGGCATTTCAAGGTCTATCCACATCGCGTTCCTTGGTGGCTGCACCCGTTTTCGTTTCCACCGACAGCAGAACAGGCTCCTCTTTCTCCGCGTCCTCCCCGGCTTGCTGCTGGAGGGCTTCCTAATAGTGCGTTTTTGCCGGTGTGAGATGGTAGCTCATTGTGGCTCTATCCTGCGTCTCTCTGATTGGAAGTGACTGGCGGACAATTTTTCATATGTCTGTTGTCCTTCTGGGTATCCTCTCTGGTGTATTTTTTGTTCAATCTTCTTCCCATTGATTTATTCCTTTTTTTTTTTAATTGTTGAGTTATGTGAGTTTTTAATATATCTTTGATATCAATTCTTTATCAGTTACATATGTCACTATTTTTCCCATTCAGTAGGATATCTTCTTGTACTTTCTTTCACTGTATAAAAGCTTTTTAACTTGAGGTTATCCCAAATGTCTATTTTTGTTTTTAATTCCCTGCTTAAGGAGTCAAAGCACCAAAAATCTCTATCCTTGATAATCATGGAGCATGTCTCCAGTGTTTTCTTTTATCGCTGCAGGTCTTCCATGTAAATCTTAATCCATTTGGAGTTTTTGTGTATGGGGCTCATGAGTGACCCAGCTCCATTCTTTTATTTGTGACTCTTCAATTTCTCCAGAGCCATTTATTAAAGAGACTGTCCTTCTGCATTGCATGGTCATAGCTGCTTTGTCATGGATGAGGTGCTGATATGTACGTGGATTTATTTCTGGACTTTCATTTCTATTCTATTGATCCATGTATCTATTTTTGTGCCAATACCATCTTGGCTTAAGTACTGTGGTTTTATAGTAAAATTTGAAGTCAGGTATTTCTCTCCATTTCTCTCCTTTTTTTCCCTCTTTTGTGACATGAGGCCTTTTGTAGTTCATGTAAATTTCAATATTGTTGTTTCATTTCTTTTTTAAAATATTGCTTTAAATCTTAATGTTATGTTAAATTCATGTATTGTTTTGGGCAGCATAGTCATTTTGGTTACGTTGGTTCTCCCATCCATGAACATGGGATGTCCTTCCATTTCCTTCCATCACTCTCTGAGTCCTTTTAACATCTTGTAGTCCTCACTGTGTAGGTCTTTTACCTCCTTTGTTAGATTAATTCTAAGGTATTTAATTCTTTTTGAAGCAATTATAAGTGGAGTTCTTTTCTTAATTTCTGTTTGCTGCTTATAGATGAAAAGGCTATGGATTTTTGTATGTCAACTTTATAACCTGCAAATCTCCAGACAAGTTAAAGGGTAAAAACAAAAGAGTAAAAGTTACCCCCACATTCCACCCCCTTCCAATGCCTGTGATTGATGTGGTGGCCTATATTCACTGCTGAGGTTAGCAGGGGGTGAGTTAGGAGAGATCTGCTGTGCCATGTGGGTTGCTCCCTGGCCAGCCAGGAATCAAACTCATGCTGCAGTGGCTGCTGATAGCTTTGTAGGTTGCGTCTTAACCCCTTGCACCACCAGGGAGGCCCATTCCACACAACTTTCTGTGGGCTAGAAGGGGATGCCCTCTACCACTGACACATGTACCGCCCCAGGAAATAGGTATGACCACCCTTAATAGCCGTCGGGCCCTGATGTGTGGCTGAGCTCCTGTGCTTTTGCCATTTACCTTGCTCCATATTTTGGACATTAGGAGTCTCCAGACTGGAGGGTCGTCAAAGCCATAGTTTTTGGTGCACCTTTGTGCAGAGGGTGGGTTTGCCACCAGCTGATGGAAGCACCCACTCCTCAGCCCTGCCCACTTAGACTGCAGCATCAACCCTTTTTACTTTTAAACTTTTGGCTGAGAAAGCATCAGAAGGGCACCAGGGGTAATGGTTTGAGCTGATGTTGGAGGACTTGCTGCTTGGTCGTGGTAGACCTTCAAGGGGTCTGATTTAGGGTGTTTGCTTTTTTGTTTTATTGGTTTGAGTTTTGAAATGCTGAAATTGCATTTAGAGGGTCGCCTCTATGCCACAGTCATTTCCATGTTCCTTCAATAAGCCCCAGGAAGTACCAGATATTATGTGCATTTTTAAATCCATAGCTGAGCGTTCAGTAAACAGGGGAAATGACCCTTGTCAACAGCCAAAAACCCAGAAGTGAGCAGAGGAGTCAGCGGGGCAGCGATTTCCCTTGGGGAGAGGAGTGAGGTGTAGGGCTTGGGGAAGGGCGAGGAGTAGCCCAGGTACTGCTGCAGGGGATACCAGGTTTAGAAAGAACCCGGTCAGCCTGCTGTCTGAGCCGCTCGGGCCCTCGCTGGAGGAGGGTCCCCCGTGCTTACGGTGCCTCCTCCCACCCGCTGTGCCCACAGGCCATGTTCGAGCTCGTCACTTCTGAGGCCTCCTACTACAAGAGCCTGAGCCTGCTGGTGTCCCACTTCATGGAGAACGAGCGGCTGAAGAAGATCCTGCACCCGTCCGAGGCCCACATCCTCTTCTCCAATGTCCTGGACGTCATGGCGGTCAGCGAGCGGTGAGCAGGGGCCTCAGCCACCCACCCCGGCCCTGTGGGGCCCGCTGCCGACCCGTGTCCCCACCTGGGCCCAGCCAGAGCTGCTGGCAAGTGCATGTTTCACTGGCTTCTCTATTTAAGTATGTTTGGAATTTTCCATCAATGGTATAAATAAATGGGTGAACCCAGAGATCTGCCACCCTCCCAGCAGGGCGGCCAGTGTGTCCCGGGACAGGACTGCTGCCCGCGGGTCCCTCCCAGCACACAAGCCCTCCACAGTCAGGCGGGCGTCAGGACCAGGTCCGGGAGTCCGGACTATCGCTAGCCTGAGTCAGCAAGCCCTGACGTGGTGCCGCGGGGCCTGAGTCCTCTGGCGGCCAGTGCAGACCAGGGGCCCTGGATTCAGCCCGTGTCTTTGCCAACTGGATTGTGTTTGCTTCAGTCTGTGGATGAACTTAGCACTGGGCTTGTGGCTTTCCCTCTGAGCAGGGTGACGTGAGCTTTCGTGGAGGAGGAATAGCTGGGGTTCTTGCAAAGAAAAGAGCTCCAGTCATATTGCTAGAATAAAAGGGCCTTTCCTCATTTTCACCCTAAGTGTGGTTTGCAACTAAAAATGCAAAACTCAATTTGTGCATCCGTGGGGTTCAGTGCTCAGATGTCAAACTCAGGGGGGGGACTCAGTAGGGACAGCAACACCCCCATGTAGCTCCCTGGAAGCCCCTGAGCCTGGGGCCGCCCCAGCCCACAGTGACACCCACCTTCCCATTGCCGAAGGCAGGGCGGGGAGGCCTGAGACACTCGGCTCCACCGACTCGCCCACCCCTGGGGCATGTTTTTATTTGTCTTTTATATGGAAAATTGCAAACAAGCAGATGTGGAAACACCGGTGCCAGAACCCACACTTCGGCATCTCATTCACCCACATGCCCATCCTGCCCCCACGGGTCGCTCTGAGCCAGACCCTGCTGCCCCTCGGGTCATCTGAAGGTCCCTCAGTATGATCTGAAAGAGAAGGCCCCTGTCCCCCACCCCTGTAAGCACCCCAGATGCTGTTGTCCACCTGCAAACCGCACAGGCCACCCCTGCCCACGCGTGTGGGCTCCGGGCCTGGCCGGCGGTGCCCGTCCAGTCTGGCCCCGCCCAGTGCCCTCATGTGCCCGCTGCCGCCGCAGCTTTCTCCTGGAGCTGGAGCGCCGGATGGAGGAGAACATCGTCATCTCGGACGTGTGCGACATCGTGTACCGCTACGCGGCCGACCACTTCTCTGTCTACATCACCTACGTCAGCAACCAGACCTACCAGGAGAGGACCTACAAGCAGCTGCTGTGAGTGTGCCCGGGGGGCCGCCCCGGGAGCCCCGGGAGCCCCCACTGCGCCGCCCCGGGCTCCCCGTGCTGCTGGAGAAGGCTGGGCCCGGCTGCGGGCCGCGGCCACACAGCGTGCAGGGCACTGCGGGCTTCGAGGGGAGAGCCTGAGGCCGGAGAAGGTGCGGGCCGAGGAGGAGGTGGGGGCGGGGATTTGAGCCAGAGACGAGGGAGGCCAGGTGGCCGGGCGGGGTCTTTGTTTTTTACTTTCACTACCTAGAATTCAGTAACTACCCGAACTCGGCTGCCCGCCTCGCGGCGCTGCCATGCGAGCAGCTTTATAGGAGGAGAATGCTGAGGGCGGGACCCTTGGCGGGGCCTCCCCCAGGCCTCGGTGTCCCCAGCCTGCCCACTGCGTGAGCTCTCGGGCTTCCAGGCGGGGCCGCTGTCCCGTGCACTTCTCTGGCTTTCTTCACGCTTCCTCGCCTCCCCCGGCCGCAGGGCTGAGCCCGCGACAGAGCAACTCCGGGGTCTGGTCCCCGCGCCCCGCCCCGTCAGCCGTGGGCATTTCAGAGCGTGAGCGGAGTTCTGGGTGCTTGACATTTGGGGTTTGGAAGCTGAGATTGGAGGGAATCGGGGTGCCCGCTGACGAGCCTATGGGAGTGATTCCCGGGGCGTGGTCCTGGCGCAGCGCCCTGGGCGTGGACCGTCCAGGCCCGGGGACAAGGCAGCAGCCCAGGCCCCACGCATCGTCCGGGGTGCGGGTCTTTCTCCAAGAGCAGCCCCCTCGCCCCTGCCCCCTCATCCTCTCATCCCCTGCCCCCCTCCTGTCCCCTGTGCCTCCTCCTTCCCCCTCATGCCCTCACCCCCTGCCCCTCACCCCCTCCTGCCCCCGGGCGCTGGGTGCGGGTGAGCCGCCCACCTGGCAGGCCCGGGTCCGCTTCCCTGCGCTGTCCCCGGCTTGCCCCCATTGCCGCACCCGCGGGTTCACTGTGCCACGGCTTCCTGCTGGGCGAGTCATCGGGCTGGGCATCTGACCCGGCCACCCCAGCGATCGCCCCACACGCCCCTGCTGCCTTCGCGGGCAGAGGCGGCCGCTGCTGTGGGGCTTGCACGAGAGCAGTGTACTTTCCAGTGTGAAAGAAGGAAAGAAAGAAACCTGCGTGTCCTCCGTGCCCGCGGGCTCTCCGGCTCTCTAGCACCCCGATAGGGCACACGCGCCTCCTTGCCACGTGCTCCGAGCCAGGCGCCCACACCCCGTCCGTGTCCCCAGCCAGGAGAAGGCGGCCTTCCGGGAGCTGATCGCGCAGTTAGAGCTGGACCCCAAGTGCAGGGGGCTGCCCCTCTCTTCCTTCCTCATCCTGCCTTTCCAGAGGATCACGCGCCTCAAGCTGCTGGTGCAGGTACGACCGACCCCCGTCCCGCCACCCTGACTGCGCGCCCGCCACCCCTCCCCCGCAGGCCCTGGGGTCACTCCGGGTCTCTGCAGCTCCCTAGAGCATTCACTGGTTCCCCAAACCCTCATTAAGCGCCCACAGTGTGGGAGGCAGTGGATGTCAGCCCCCACTCCCAGGGGCCCCCCTGAGGTCTGGGATGCACTCACAACCAGGACAGCGTGGCTGTAAGAACAGTGAAACGGGGCGCCATGACGGGGGGTCTGCCCAGGACTACCGTTGGGGGTTCCCTGATGAGCGACCTTGAAGCGCAGCCGTGACCGGCAGGGAGGAGCAGTTCAGGGGAACCGTGCCAAGGCCCGGGGGCAGCCGGCCACAGGCAGAGGCTGTGGGGAGAGCGAAGGCGAGTGGGGGGGCTGAGGGCGGGGGGCACCCTGGGCTCTGGGCTCCCTGACCTGTCACAGGTGACGCTCCAGGCAGCGCCCCGGACAGTGCCCGCAGGAGGGCAAGGAGGGCAAGGAGGGCGTGGGAGAGGGGTCGGGTAGCAGTTAGGAAGGGAAGGAAGTTTGGGGAGACGGGGGTTCTGGGGGATCAGCCAGTGGAGAGTGGAGGGAGGAGGAGCCGCCAGGGGCGTCTGGCTGAGGCTTGGGCCCCTGAAGCTGCTCAACAGCCAGGTCAGAGAGGTGCCCGGAGCTCTCTGCAGGGGGCGTCTGGGGGGATCACCCCGTGGATGGGAGAAAGGGGTCCCCTGGCCAAGGGCGGGAGGGAGCAGCAGTGAGGGAGGACGAAGAGGCAGAGCTGGAGGAATGGGGAGGAGGAATGGGGAGGTCCCGGGGGAGGGGGGTGCACAGCAGGTCAGAGACCCCTGGGCCTGCCCGGCCTGCCCTGTGCCCACCCTGAGGCGGGGCGGGGGCACTCACCACCATTAGGGAAGCAGCGGAATGGGGGGTTGGGAGGGTTCCCAGCCAGTTGGGGGGCCCGGGAAGGGTTCAGAGGGTGCCAGCTTTGGGGGGGCGCCAGGTAGAGCTCTGGCAGCCCCTGCATGAGGTGGGGTGGGGGGGCCTCCAGAGAGGAAGCTGGAGGGCAGGGCGGCCACACCCTCCTCTTGGGGTCAAGAGCAGGACTCTTGGGGTCAAGAGTCTCAGGCCTTGAGCCACAGGGGAGCCGAAACTTCCAGCAGGAGTCAGTTTGGGAGTCAGGGTGTCCACACGAGAAAGTCAGCAGAGCCCCGGGCCTTGCCACTCGCGCCCTGGAGCCCACGAGAGCGCGGAGGCCCCTTGGGGACAGGGCGAGCCCCGCGGGTGCCGCCCCCGGCCGCCCGGTCACCAGGTCGGGCTCTTGGGGCGTGCGCTGCAGGGGCTCGAGGCTGCTTGGACATGGGGAGGGGGTCACCGCAGCGAGGGGCGGCAGGAGTCACGGGACTCCCCTGTGCGCAGAACATCCTCAAGCGCGTGGAGGAGCAGTCTGAGCGGGAAGGCACCGCCCTGGACGCCCACAAGGAGCTGGAGATGGTGAGTCGCGCCCCGCGGGGCTCCTCGCGGGTGTCTCTGGAAAATGCAAATTCACCCTGCGGCCCTGAGAAGTCACTGGGGGTGAGGAAGACCCGCAGCCTGCAAGGCCCACAGGGCCCGCCGGCCCTGCGCGAGCGTCCCCCGCGCCGTACCCGGCTCTGAGGCTCCCGGCCGCCTCCAGATCACGGTCACCCCGACCCGCCGCGCCGCCCCCCGCACCCGCCTCTCCCGTTTGGAGCCTGAGCGTGACTCCCTGTCCCGCGGCGCCGGGCCCGGTGGCGTGTTGCTCGTGCGCGAGGCCGCCCCGCAACCGCCTTCCCCTTGCGGCCTTATGTCGCCGAGCTCATGCCCTGGCTCCCGTCCCTCAGCGACAGGCAGGCGCCCGGAGAGGCGTCCTTTCCAGCCGCGCCGCGGGGTGTGTGCGCGGCCCTTGCTCCAGCCCGCCCGGGGCCGGGGCCGCGCTCCTGCCTGGCTGCGCTGGGGCCTCGGGCCAGACCCGCGCTCTCCCGCTGTCCCCTGAGGCCGGCGTGGCGCTTCCCCTCTGGCTCCTCAAGCCCGTCCCCCTGGCCCCGCCGGGCTCTGGGCGGCCGTGACTCCGCGGGCGTGCGGGACGCGGCCGGTGGCCTGCTGGGGAGGCGCGGGTTCGGGTCCCGCGCTCTGTCCCCGCAGCAGCTGCCGAGGAGCAGGACTGGCCCTGGGGCGCCCCATGGGGGTTCCAGCCCTGCTGCCCGCTTCCCGGGCCTCCGGGGCCTCCTCTCGTCCTTGCTCAGACCCGCGGGCCGCGGAAATCCCCCGGCGGTTACACCCTCTGAGGATCTGGGGGAACAGCACCCCCAACCCCTGCCCAGCTCGTGGGGGGAAGGCCAAGCCTGGAGCAGGCAGCTCGGGGAGCGCCAGAGGCGTCTTCGGGGCCGCTGCCTCCCGGGAAGCCGAGCACCTCACGCTCAGGCGGGTCCTGCCTCGGGGGCAGGTGATGGTTGGTCCGTTTCTGACCTTCTTTGCGGCTTCCGCTGCCCTCTGCTGAGTCTCTCAGGTTCACTCTAAAAAAAAAATAAAGGCGACTTTTTTCCAATTTGTGAAAGTAATAGATTCTCAATACTCCAAAAATGCAGAAGGCTCCGCGGGGACGGAGGACGCGCCCGATGCCCTCGGCCCCGGCCCACCGCGGGGCTCGCCCTCAGCGCCCTGGGCGCCCGCGTGCGCGCCGGCCTCCGGCACAGGGGCAGCGGCGGCGGGCCAGCTGTGCTCTCCGCTGCCGCGCGGGGCCCCTGCCTGCTGGTGAGGCCGGGGTGTTCGCGCCCTTGGGCTTGTCGGCGCCCGTCAGTCCCGGCTCTGGACACTGCGGTCCCGGCGGCTCTTCTCCTGCTCCGTAATTCTGCAGGTGCCAGGCTCTGCCCTGGAGACGCGAGTCCCAGGAAATGCTATTCTGTGAGAACTCTTGGCGCCTGGGGGCCGCCCAGGAAGGTGGGGGGAGCTGAAGTCCCCCCCACCTCAGCAGACCGGGGCCTTGTCCACCTGACCGAGGAGGACGGGCATCTGATCGTTTGCCTGCTTAGGTGATGTGAGCAGTCGGGCGCCATTTTGTGTTCTCAGAATTTTCTTCCTAACAAGCACCTTTTCCAGCCGGGACCCACAGCCACGGCCCGGCGGAGTTCCTCGGCTTCACCGGTGTTCCAGAAGGTGTCAGAGAAAAGCGCTCCGGCCAACCGAGATGGGCCAGGGTGTCTCTGCTGTGGCACAGCGTCCCACACACCTGGCTCGGCGGCCCTTGGGGCCTGGCTGGGCGGGGACAGCCGGGGCCTGAGCGTCGTCCCTTTGTCCCAGGTGGTGAAGGCGTGCAACGAGGGCGTCAGGAAGATGAGCCGCACAGAGCAGATGATCAGCATCCAGAAGAAGATGGAGTTCAAGATCAAGGTGAGCCGCGCCCACGTGGCCCTGCCCGGTCGGCCGGAGCCTCAGTGCCCACCCACCCCACAGTCACTGAATCGCCACCCCAGGCTCAGCACATGTCCCGCCACCAGGCCCTCCCTGACCCCTGGGCAAGGCCCGCAGTCCCCCGGTTCCGTGCCCCATTGCGCTGGACCACGGGCTGGCTGGGCCACCGCGGGCGGTGGGTTTATGCCATACGTGGCAGAGGGCCTGCCAGCAGATCTTAAACCTGGGGCAGGAAGTTTCAGGAATCCGCAGGGCCCTCCGGCCTGGGTTTTTGATGTGAGCACGTGAGCACACCGTGCCCCCTGAGGGCCCCAGAGGTCGCCCTGGGTTTGGGAGCTGAGCCCCAGGGTGCAGACATGGCCTTGTGGGTGCCAAGGAGCGCCAGGGGCCAGGCCAACCCCAATGCCTGACTCCTGCCTGAGCCATGCAGTGGGCCCCCACACCTGGCCCCGTCTCCAGGGGAGCCAGCTCTCCCCTGGCCCCTGTGAGCATGGCCTCTCCACCGATTCCACATCATGTGGCTGCAGTGGAGATGACAGTACACCTGCCAAGTGCACGGGCACACGCATGTGTAAAACACTTTTTTTTTTTTTTTTTTTTTAATAGAGGCATGTTTTTCTTTATTTATTTGTTTGCTTGTTTGTTTGTTTTTTGTTTATACAAGCACTGGGTACAGTCAGAAGCGCGGGAGGGTGAGAGAATTCACCAGAGCCAGAGCGGGGAGCAGAGCAGGCAGAAGGACCGAAGTACACTGCTGAGGGGAGCAGCGGGTGGCAGGAGAGGTCTGCGCGCCATGTGGGACCCTCCACTGGTGGCCGGGGAGCAGCCGGGGATTGAACCGGCGCTGCAGAGGCCGCGGGCAGCTTCGCAACCCAGCGCTCAACCGCTGCGCCACCGGGGAGGCCCTGTAAACACTCTTACAGCACTGGTCTCACTTGGGCACATATACACAGATGCACACGCAAATACATTATGCCAGGGAAGCACACAACATGCACACACAGCCATGCACACTCACACAATTGTGCATGCACACACAGCTGTGCACACCCACAAACCCACACACAACTGTGCACACAGAGCCATGCGCACTCACACACAGCCATGCGCACTCACACACAGCCATGCACACTCACACAGAGCTGTGCACACACACACAGCTTTGCACACACACAGCCATGCTCACACACACAGCTGTGCGCACACACCAGCCCACGGCTGGCCCCTGCCTCCCGGGCTCGCAGGCTCTCGCTGGAGTTACCACTCCAGGAAGGGCCGTGGGGCGCCGTGCGTGGACAGCGCTGGGAGGAGGGGGGCACAGCCGCTGACACCCCTCCCCCTGCAGTCGGTGCCCATCATCTCGCACTCCCGCTGGCTGCTGAAGCAGGGCGAGCTGCAGCAGATGTCCGGCCCCAAGACCTCCCGGACCCTGCGCACCAAGAAGCTCTTCCGGGAGATTTACCTCTTCCTCTTCAACGACCTGCTGGTGATCTGCCGCCAGATCCCCGGGTGAGTGGGGCCCCTGGTGGCTGGGGGTGCCCTGCAGGGTGCAGGACCCGAGCAGGTGGGGGCACGGGGTGCCGGGCAGAGCGCGGGCTCGGGGGCAGGTTTGAGGCTGCTTGACCAGCCCTGGGCCTCTGGGCAGTGTGTCTGGCCCTCAGCCTCCTCCCCCGCCCCGTCTCGGGGGGGTCTGGCCCTTGGGGGTGTGGCGCGCGCCTCCGCTGCCGCCTTGTAGGTGCGGATCCCTCATCCCCCACCCCTACCACGGGAGGGAGCACCCGGGGGTGAGGGAGCGCAGGCGTGGTTCGGGTGGGAGGACTCCGGGAGGAGGAGAGCGTGGCCGGGGCGGGGCCCGTCCTGCTGCCCTCGGGTGAGGCTCCCGGCTCCTGCGCCCTCAGGGACAAGTACCAGGTGTTTGACTCGGCCCCGCGCGGCCTGCTCCGGGTGGAGGAGCTGGAGGACCAGGGCCAGACGCTGGCCAACGTGTTCATCCTGCGGCTGCTGGAGAACGCGGACGACCGGGAGGCCACCTACATGCTGAAGGCGTCCTCTCAGTGAGTGCCCCGCGCCCGCCGCGCCTGCGTGCCCGGGGCCCCCGTGGCTTCCCAGGCGGAGCGAGGCTGCGGGGCTCAGGCGGCCGTGCCCACCCAGCCCCCTCTCCCGGCCCAAGACCCTGGGGGCAGGTGTCTGCCCCCTGCTGGCGTCCGTCGGGTGTGGGGCTGCTGGGGTGTGTGTGTGTGTGTGTGTGTGTGTGTGTGTGCACGCGCTCATGCACACGCGTGTTCTTGATCCCCCCGTGCCTCAGACTCCAGGCAGGTCCCTCCTTTCCTGTGAGCTGCTGTGAAACTCCAGGCCAGGCCCAGGAGACCCCCCACCCCTCCAGCCTTGCCCCTGTCCGGCGGCCGAGAGGGACCTGCAGAGTGTGGGAGAAGCTTCTGAGGCTCCTCCTCCACCACCCCCTCCCCCGGGCACCCCCAGCCCCATCCAGCACCCAGGCTAGGTTAACTTGGGGGGCCGCAGAGGGCTCGCCTTCACCAACTGACTTTAGCGTGCAGCTAAAGTCAAGGGCGCCCCACGTGTGGCTCTGCTGGACGCGGGGCGCCCTGTGGCTGTCCTGCTGCAGCCTCCAGTGAGCTGGAGAGCCGGGCAGGCAGGGCCGCCGGGGCGGGGTGCTCCGTGCTGCATCCCGGCATTGTCCTCTTCCTGGCCCAGGAGTGAGATGAAGCGCTGGATGACCTCGCTGGCCCCCAACCGGAGGACTAAGTTCGTTTCCTTCACCTCCAGGCTGCTGGGTACGTGGCCCACGGGGCGGGGCCTTGCGGGGGGGGGGGGGCAGTGAGGAGCAGGCAGGGGCAGGGCACCCCCTCGGCGCTCCTTGCACTGGCCTGAAAGGGCAGCGCCTCCCGAGAGCCCCTCTCGAGGCCTGCGTGCCGGGAGCCGCATCCCTGCCCGAGGGGCGGCGCACCCCGGCCCTGGCGGAGACCACGGCCCAGCGGAGCTTTGCCTGCGTTTGGGCGTCCATAAGAAAGCAGCGTCCCGGGCTTGTGACAGGAACCGCGGGGAAGGAATCGGGCCCGGACGGCAAACGCCGCGTCCTCTGAGGGCGCCGTGCGCAGCACGAAAGGCCGCTCAGCCCGCACCCCCTCCCGCCTCCCCTGGGGTCTGCAGAGCCCTGCCTGTCCGTGCTTCTCTGGGGGCTCCCGCGCCCCAGCCCCCAGCCGTCCCCTTTCCCAGGCTGCTCCCCTGCTCGGGCCTGGGGGGTCCGGGCTCAGCCTGCCACGCCTCAATGAGGACAACCCCCCCAGACTGCCCCCAGGTCCAGTGCGTGCACCCCTACGTGGCCCAGCAGCCCGACGAGCTGACGCTGGACCTGGCCGACATCCTGAACATCCTGGAGAAGACGGAGGACGGTGAGGGGCTCCGAGGGGAGCGGGTGGGGCACAGGCCTGCCATCCTGCTCTGGCCGCCCCCACCCCAGGCCTTTCTTTGTCTCTGCCCCTCCTGGCTGACTTCAGAACCCCGCCCCGCTTCACAGCCGGGAACCCCTTCAGGCGGACCCCAACCCTAGAGCTTCTAGCTGAGCTAGAAAGAGCTTCTAGCTGAGCCTGGAGCCACCCGGGACCAGCAGCTCCCGCCCCTGCCAGTGGCATCTGTGCCCTGGGAGGTTTGCTCCTTCCCTTGAAAAATTGATCTCCTATTTCTACACCAGTTTCTCCTAATCAGAACCCCCCGAAGTGCACAAAGCATCCCCCAACCCCTCCTCCCGGGTCCTGGCTGGACACCTCCGGCTGGTGACCTCCGGGGAGGCCATTTCTGCTGTTCCCAGAGTGCAGGGGCCGTGGCCCCCGCCCCTCCCGGGGGTAGACAGCCTGACACCCCCCCAAAGTGCTTGGAGAGGACGCGCTCCAGGCCCCACCCCCCACGTCTTAGCCCCACCCCATGTGTGATGACCTCCTGGGGAGAGATGGAGCCAGGACCCCTGTCCATGGCGGCTGCCACCCCCAGCGGGCACCCTCAGCCAGCCACCGGCTTGGGAGGCTAAGTCAGGGACCTGCCCAACAAGAGGGGGTCCTGGCATTCCAGGCCAGATAACCAAGTGGCAGCCCCCACCCCCACAGACCCTTGGTGCCTCTACCTTGGGGAGGGGTATCCCTGGGAACCTCCTGGGCTCCAAGTGAGGGTTGGGGGATGGTGCCAAGTCAGGGTTCTACGCCGTGGCACAGTGGGGCAAGTTTAGGGCACACCCACTGCTCCCCAGGAGGGCTCATGGGGGACACCCCCAACCTGAGGGTGTGTCCGACCGACCGCAGCTTGCAGAGCAGGCACCTCAGAAAGGCCAGTGGGCTCCCCTCTGCTCCCGGCCAGGGGGGCTCCCCCAGCCCCTAGAGCTGTTGACCCCCTTCCCTCGCAGGGTGGATCTTCGGGGAGCGGCTGCACGACCAGGAGAGAGGCTGGTTCCCCAGTTCCATGACTGAGGAGATCCTGAACCCCAAGATCCGGTCCCAGAACCTCAAGGAATGTTTCCGTGTCCACAAGATGGAGGACCCTCAGCGCAGCCAGAATAAGGACCGCAGGAAGCTGGGCAGCCGGAATCGGCAATGACCCCCGCGAGGGCCGCCGGCCTGGGGGCACGTGGGCAGGCAGGAGCCGGGCTGGGCCAGCAGCCCCGGCGGGCACAGAGGAGCTCTGGGGGAGGCCGGCGCCCCCAGGCAGCAGGGTGTGACCCTACCCCTCATCCCTGCGTCGTGGTGAGTGCCCCGTGTCTTGGCCCCTCGCTCACAAACTGAAGACCGGGCGCCCCGTCTCTCCTGCTGCGCGTGTAGATGAGAACGTCTGTCTTCAACAGTGTTACGCCCTCTCGCCCTCGGTCTCCCAGAGGCGGGAAGCGGTGGTTCTCGAGGCCTTCCCGGACACTGGGAGAGGCCCACACCCGGTGTCCCCGGTTGATGAGGGCAGGTGCCAACGGTGATTGGCATGACCCCTGCACGTGTCCTTCTCCACCCTGGAAGCCCCTGGAGTCCGCCAGGTGCACAGATGGACCGCGCCCCTTCCTGACGAGCTCTGACGAGAGGCCCCTGGTTTCCAGTTCATGGGACTGAGACCACCGCCTCTGTCCACCCCGCCCCAAGCCTCCGCCAGCCTCTGGCTGCACGGCCAGGCCCTGCCTCGTGGCAGGCCTGCCAGAGCTTGGCCGGGCCCCACGCTGCCTCACTCCCTGGCAGGCTGGATGTAACTCGTGTCTCTGGCCCCCTCAAGAGCCCAGGTGTTATAAGGAATGAACTGGTCACTGCATCCTGTATCAGCTATGGTTCCAAGAAAAGCAAATATCATTTTTGGCTGCATTAAAAGAAGCATCATGTATAAAGTAAAGGAGGTTAAGGTCTACTCTTTATTGCCCCGGAGCACACAGGAACAAAGGGTTCAGGGCAGGGAGAGAGGAGCGCCCTTCAAGGCCACGAGGGCGGCATGTCCAGAGGGAGGGCTGAGCAGGCAGCCAGCGCCAGGCCTCAGCTGGAAGTGGATGTGGGCCTCCACCTGTGAAAGGGCTCGGAAACAGGAAAAGGCTGTTTGAGGGAGCTTGGATCCGCCTTCTGCAGTGGAAGAAAGTGCGGGTTTGGATGATCGCAGAGGGACCGGGGTGCCAGGGGGCCCCCCTGGAGAGCTGACCACCAGACTCGGGCCAGGCTTCCGACCTGACAGTCACTGCCTCGGGCCCTTTTTCCTTCCTTGGTGGCAGCCAGTTCCCCACACAGGACAGCTGCTCCCCCACTGACCCCCCACAGCCACCCAGCCCCAGTGCTGTCCTGGAACGCCCCCATTCCAGGGCGGGCCTGGATCCAACCCACCCAGCCCAGCCCATGTGGCCCCTGCTCCTCCTGCAGGACACGCTTTCCTCAGCACGGGCAGGCTCTGGCTGGAGGCCTGGACCTGAGATCCCGTGGGACCCGGCATCTCCCGTGGGCCCGCGAGAGCCGGGCGTCCCGTCCAACACGGGCCCAGGAGGCCTGAGGCTCCTGGGACCTCCAGCCTGCCCCCACTCCGTGGGGGAGCACCCCCGCCTGAGCCCCCGGGAGCGAGGACGGGTCATTCTGAGCCCAGGTTGCTTGGGGAGGCGGCCTGGTCCCAGCCCTCTCTTCCAGCTCCTCCTCACGGAGCTGGAGACCAGCAGCCGACTCGGGGCTCTGCCAGAACAAGGGCTCAGCCAGTGAGGTTGAGGCGAAATGAAATCACGTCAAGTTTCAAGAAAAGGGGCGGGTTTTGTAGCAGTCCTTCGTCAGCAGAAACCTTTACCCTCGTGTGTCTGGGGGAGGGAGTGAGCACAGCCCAGGTGTGGCCGGCCGCCCAGGGAAACCCAAGGACCTAGGTTGCCTGCGACAAGGAGGAGGAGCAACTTACCCTCCCCTGGCCCCCACTGGGAGGGCTCCCCTTGGGGCGCACGGTAGGAGGCCATCTCTGGGCTTGGCAGACAGCCCCTCCTCCAGGCAGGCCTCCAGAGAGCACTCCCAAGGGCTTGGCCGCTGCTTCTGTGGCCACGCTCTGGCTTTTCCCAAGCTGCACCAGGCTGGTCAGCCGCTATTTTAAATGTCTGTCCACATTGTAAATGCCGGGTCCCCTGGGACGTGTGAAGAGTAAACCCAAGGCCCAGATGCGTGCCAGGGCCAGGGTGACCCGCAGGGGGGACAGGCAGAGGAGCCACTGCCTCCCACTGCCGATCCCACACTCACCCCGCCCCAAAAGGCTCATGGGGTTGCAGGGAGGAGGGTTGAGCCTGGAAAGGTTTCCTGGTTTTTCTCGGGACAAACCGGCACCCGGGGGGCCTGCCCCTTTGGCCCAGACCCCCACAGGCCCTGCCACTTGCACCTGCGGCCCAGCCAGCAGGGCGGCCCCCTGGGGCTGCGGGTGGGGGATTTGGGGTAGAGGCCTCCTGTGCCCAGGCTTCCCCCCTCCATGCGTCCTGCTCCTGGGCCCCCCTGGATGCTCTCCTGGGGCCCAGGGGCTGCAGTCCCAGCCCACAGTTGGGGCCCAGGCCGCCCGAGTTGGAAGATGTGCCTCCAGCCCAAAAGAACCCCACCTCTGCTCGTGGCTGGCCACCCTTCCCTGTACCCCACCACCCCAATCTCCCCGGCCGCGTGGGTCCCCTCTCCTAACCTCACCACCTCCTGCCCTTCTGAGCTCGCCGTCCTCAGGGCACCGAGGGAGGAGGCCCCAGGGACAGGGATTTGGGGTGCGGGCAGAACCGGGAATGGGGAGGTGCAGGCGGCGCTGCGGGGAGCTGCCCGGGGCCAGGGAGGGCGCGTGGGGCCGGCGCCTTCTCCCCGCGCGCTGCGCCCCCTCCCCGGCCTGGGCGCGCGGGACGCCCCGCACCCCCCTCGCGGTCCTGCGCCCCGGCACGTGCCCGCGGTGCCCCCTCCCCCCCCCCCCCCCCCCCGTCTCGCCCACACACTCACGCGGACACACTCGAGACTCGGGGCGCGCCGGGCGCCGCCGAGCCGTCGGGACAGGCGCGCGGCCCCTTTATTGGCTTCAGGACGCGGAGAACTTGCGCAGCGCGACGACCGCGAGCGCCAGCACCACGCAGGTGGCCAGCAGCGCGGCGATGACCACGGCCGCCACGGCGCCCGGCCCCAGCGAGCCTGCGGAGAGGGCCGTGAGCCGGGAGGGCGCGCCCCGGCCCCCAACCGCCCCCCGCGCCCCCCCGCGCCCCCCGCGCTCCCTGCGCCCCCCGCGCCGCCCCTACCGCTGCCCGGGTCCGGCCGCTCCCGCGCGGTGCTGTCCTCGGGGCCCGGCGCCGCGCTGGGGGCCGGGGGCCGCTGGCCTCGGGCTCCCGCGCCGCGCTGCTGCTCTCCACCGCGCCGTCCCCCGACTGCAGCTCGGCCGGCTCGTTCCACAGGGTGGGCACCGGCTCCTGCGGCCCCTCGGCTGCAAGGCCAAGCACAGGCGCTGGGCCGGGCGCACCCCCGCACCCCCTCCCCGCTGGGAGTCCCTGGCCGGACACCCCCGCGCTGCCTCTTCCCGGTGAGACAAGCCCCGACAGGCAGGTGTGGGACAGGCGGCCCAGGGGTGACAGGGTGGCTGGGGGGGCGGCGGGGGGCAGCTCTCTGAAAAGGAACCCAGCTGGGCAGCAGCGAGGGGACATGGCGCAGAGCCCAGGGCTCCGTGGCCTTGCCAGGGCCCGGCCACGCCCCGGCGCAGACGCAGCCGCAGCCCAGTCTTCAGGCCTCTCTGGAGAAGCAGCCTGGGAGGTGAGGCAGTGCCCTCCAGCCAGGGGAGCCAGGTTCCCTGCTCCCGCCCCCCACTATCCAGGAGGTGGATGGAGAGGCCACCCCATAGCCCAGGAGCAGCCGGCCCGGCCCCTCATGCTCGGCGGTCACCTGGGTGGAGCCCAGCAGCCAGCAGGACCCGGGTCCAGCATCCCCCCGCAGTGTCTGAGACCTGAAGCCCCTGTCCTGAGACAGGGCACCCCTATCCTAAGAAGCTGACGCCATCCTCCGGACAGAACAGGGCCAGAGGGGTGAGGGGTGTCTGGTCAATGGAACCCCCAGGAAGCAATGCCCCAGAAAAGGGTGAGACCCCCCCACCCCAAGCTGGTACTCAGCCAGCACATCAACCCCTGGGCAGCTTTCCCGCGGGAGCCCTTCTCTGTTCGTGAAGTAGGGGCTAGCAGGGGGGCCGCAGGGGCCCCAGAAAGTTATCATGAGAGGCCTGCACGATAACCCCAGTCTGTACCCCGACTGGGCCCTATATACCCATGCCAGTTTCTCCCCCAGCCCCCCCAAGGGCTCCCGCCTGAGGACCCCACAGCCCCGCTCCACCGTCCTTCTCGGACACGAGGCCCAGGACCCCCTGCTGACCAGCGGCTTTAGCAGGGGCGGGCTCCTGTCCCGTGTCTCCTGGGCCCAGGGGCTTCGCGGATGTCTGGACACATCTCCTGGGGCCCTCGCTGCTTGCTCTCTGCCGCTGGCGACCCTTGTGATCCCTGTTCCCGAGCGGCTCAGCGGGGCTGTGGGGTCTGACCCCTCTGGCCTCTCAGCAACGCCTGTGCTTCCCCACAGCCCGCCAGGTTGCCGCGGCCACGCCCTGCCGCCCTCCGCCTGCGCCCGGGGCCCCTGTGCGAGGTGGGCTCTGCCCTGACAGCCCCCCTGACTCCCCTGCTTCCAGGCACACCAGCTTCTGGGGCTGGGGGGTGGGGGGAGGGGGTGGCAGGGATGCTCCAGGAAGACACAAAGGCGCCCCCAGGGCTTTCCTGCCAGCAGAGCCCACCTGGGGCAAATCATGAGAAACATCAGCCCCACCCAAACGCAGGGTCAGTGTTAATATCACTGGGCCTGGGCCTCCCTGGTGGCACAGGCAGTTGAGCTCAGCACTGTGAAGCTGTCAGCAGCCTCTGCAGTGCCGGTTCACTCCCCGCCGGCCACAGAGATGCCCACATGGAGAGGCACACTTCTCCTGTTGCGCCCGCTGCTCCCCTCAGCAGTGTATTTCGTCAGCCTGCCTGTTGTTCCCCGCTCTGTCTCTGGTGAATCCTCTCACCCTCCCGCACATCTGGCCTGTACCCCGGTTCTTGTATAAATAAATAAATCTTTAAAAAAAAAAAATCACTGGGCCTACAAAAATGTCAAGGTCATACAAGGCGAAGGCTGAGGAATTGTCCAGATCAAGAGTGAGGCGTGCAGCCCCCGTCCGCGCATGCCACAGGGGAGACGGCCGCCGGGACGTGATTGGGGTCCGCTGTGACGCGGGGTGAGGCTGGAGGTGATGACCACCCTGGCCTCCCATGGCTCAATCTGGTTTTGGAGAGTATCCTTGTCCAGGGGAGAGTTAGAAGCAAGCGGCCTGGTGTCTGTGACTGCCCCTCAGGTGCTCAGCAGACGACAGGCCAGTGGGGCGTAGAGGCAGGACAGAGGAGCAAGATGGCAACATGTTGGTAACTGTCGAATCCCGGTGAAGAGTCCACTAGAGTTCATTGATTTATTGCAGCTTTTCTATAAACTCAAAGTCTTTTCACAATAAGGTTGCACTGGCCTGTCTTCACAGCCTGCCCCAGGCCTGGGCTGGTCAGGTCCAGGCGCCACTGGTGTCAGGGACCACTGTTGTGTTCTTGGGGTTTGCCCAAACTGGCACCCCTTTTCAGAAAACACCCCTGGCGAAGAGGCCTCACCAGGGCAGATGGGCCCTGACCAGGTGTGGGGACACTGTCCCTTCTCACGGCCACAGCAGCTGCCGGCTGAGCGCTCCTGCCCGCAACCCCGCTGAGACTCCCGCCTCCGGAGGGGGTCCCGTGCCCTGTCCGGCTGGGAGGCCGAGCTCTGCAGCCTTGCGGCCCCTGTGAGAAGCCCCGAGCCCCTGGCCACTTGCCTCTGGCTCCCAGAGGCCTGGGCAGGGGAAAAGCCTGAGGTCCAGGGCTCGCAGACTGCCTGTCTCCCCAGACAACTGCAGGGCCCCGGCCCCTACTGCTCACCACACACCCAAGACACTGGGCAGCAGGCGGCTCTGTCACACCTCCGCCGCCAAAGCTCACTTCCAACTCCTGGAACCTGGCCAGGGAGGCGCCACAAGCGACTGAATGCCAGGCCTGGCCGAGCCGGGTGGCCTCCTGAGGAGTGATGGGCCCCGAGGGGGTGGGCGCTGACTCTGGGGAGCTAGGTGGGCCTGGGAGAGGAGCCTCTGAGCAGCAGCCTTGGGAGGCACCCCAGTCTTCTCCCATCTCCTCCCAGTGGCCCAGCCTCACACTGCCGTGACCCAGGAGCCTGGACCCCCCCACGGCGAAACACAGTCCTAGGCCGCCTGTCCCAGCGGGGAACACCCTCTGAGACGCAGCTGTCCCTGAAACTCTGGAGGCTCAGCTAGCGGGGTTGGGTACAAACCCTGACTCTCCCACACTGTCCCCCAGAACACTGGCAGCCTGATGGGGTGTCCCGACTCTGCCTTGACCCCGTCTCAAGCCCGCCCACGCTGGAGATGGCTGTCATGGCCGTGGCTGCTGCCACCACCCCGGGCGATGGGCAGGACACAGGCCAGGCCGCTGTGTGTGCCGGGTATCGCCACAGCTGCCCGCCACCCCACCCCGGGGGGCCCCGGGCGCACACAGGAGCACCTCACAGGGTCAGCCCCCAGCCCGCAGCCAAGGAGGCCTTTTCCTGTGTTCACCAGGTCTGCAGCTTCTCCATCTGCCGCAGGAAGAGGGCCAAGCAGAGTTTAAAGGCAGTGACCCACCTCCCCCAAATCTGTGAGAAGCCAGGAGCGCAAGCAGCTGCCAACTGCTGGCAGCAGCCCCATCTGAGGAGGGGAGTTTGCGGGAGAATGTCGCCCCGCAGAGGACGCGCATGGGCGGGGAAGGAGGACGGAGACCAAGGAGGACCCGGGGTGGATCCCAGGCTCCACGGGCTGGTTAGCAGGGACGCGGGCCTCGCGCCCTGGCACGGGCCGGGAGAAGGCACAGTGGGCTCGCCACCCCCAGCCTCCCACCGCCTGCCTTTCGGTAAATAAGTTTGTTTAACGCTCTCACTCGGACCAGAGGGCCCCAGGGCCAGGCGCCCTGCTCACAGACGGCCTTTGTGAGGGCCATGAAGGGCCTTTTCATCCTGCCCTGGCCTCCCGCCCACCCCAGTAGCTGCGGCCACAGGCAACAGGCGGACCTGGACCTCAATATCCCTGGTCTGTCTCTGAGGCTCCCGCCCGCCCAGCAGAGGTCCAGGGCCTGCCCAGAGCTCCTGGGAGCCTCCCCAGTGCCCTGCCTCCCCAAAGCAGAAAGCACACAGCCGACCCCAACGACTCCAGAGGGGGTGGCCTGCTCTGCCCCCGCCCGGGGACTTGCCAGCTCTTGGTCGCCCACAGAGAGGTGAGGCCAGGTGAGGCCCCAGAGATGCCCATGGAGAGGCTGCCCCAAAGCATTCCTGCGGGGGCCGCTGGAGCCCACCCACTCAGGCTGGGCACGCAGGGCATCCAGGCTGGCTGATGGCCCGGGCTGGGCGAGCTGGCTGCTTTAGGGACCAAGACACTGGACAGAAGCTGGCCTGTCGGGCAGCCCCAGGGGGCTGGCAGGCGCCTGCCTTCACCTCTGCCCACTTTGACCACCAGGCTGGAGAAGCGTTTCCTTGGGGAGGGGTAAGGGGAAGCTTCGGGGATCACAGCCTGAGAGGCAGGCCTGGAAGAGACCACCTCACACTTTAGGTCGCTTTCCCACCCCCACCCCCACCCCAGCTTGCCCAGCTGTCACCTGCCCTACCGAAGGGAGGCCGGGTGCTTGTCCAGCTTTGAGCAAGGAGCTAACTTGCCCTGGGATCACCCTGCACCCTGCACCCCACCAGGGTGCACCCCACCAGGGCCAGGGACATTTCTTCATGCTGACTGGTGGCCCGGAGAGCCCCAGTGTTGGGGTTACCCCCGCATGCAGATGAGGAGGAGCACAGAGGCCTGAGAGACAGCCAGGAGGGGATGGAGCTGCTTCCTGGGGGTCTGGAGGGAGGCGGGGGCGGGGGGGGTTCACGGCCTTCCCTTCCCCCGGGCCTTCCCTTTCCCCCCAGGCCTTACCTGCCCAGGCACTCAGTCCAGGGCCATGCTGGCACCTGCCAGGTCCGGCTGCCTCCCACACAGACCCCCAGACACCACCCAAAGCCCATGCTGCAAAGAGGTGCCCAGGGGTCCCCACTCCTGCACATTTCTTCAGCCCCTGAGCCCTGAAACACTTCCCCTGGGACACCAAGTGGGCTGCCCTGGCCAGCCCGCATCAGGGCCAGCAGAGAAAGACCAGCATGGGCTCCACGACCCTTGTTTCCCGCAGGCTCCCCCAGCCCCTGTGCCAGCCCCCACGCCAGGCCAGGACTCGGGCTGGGGTCCCAGAGCCTCCTCGGCACTCAGACCCGGGCACCGTGGCCTCAGCACACAACCCAAGTCCAGCGTCTGGGCTGAGAGACCTCAGGTCCTGTGCTCCTTCCAGAACTTTTCTGTGCGGGGGACCGGTACCTGGGTCTAAGAACATTTCAGGAACCAGGAGGGAGGGGCTCACAGGGCTCAAAAGGGAACCGGCAAAGGCCCCCCGCCTCTCAGCTGTGCGCCCTAGGCCTGGGGCCTTCCTGACTCCCTGGTCTTTCAGATTTTAGGGTGCACCAGGGTTACTCCAGAGTGGTGCGACCCCTGGGTTGCTCCCAGACCACCCTCCTGTCTTCATTCCTGTCGCTAACAGCTCCTTGGGGCACTGATTTGGCTGCCACCCACCCGCCTCAGGGAGCCCCTCGCAGAGTCGCCCCAAGAGGCTGCCCATCTGCAAAGGGCCCCCGCCCCAGCGGGCCCCGGAGAATCTGGCCCTGGGAGGCTGGCAGCCGCAGGGCCAAGGGAGCCCCTTACCTGTGAGCACCGCCGGGGCCAGCACCCCGGAGAGGAGCAGCAGCGCCATGCGCAGTGCCAGACGCAGCGCCATCCTGGCCTGTGAGGGAGCGGCGGCGAGCGGGCAGCAGTGGACTGAGCTGGGAACCTCAGGGCAGAGGGAAGGAGGCATCAAAGGGCTGGGAAGGGTTTCCGTCAATGCAAACTCTGTCCTCCTGGGACACCGTGCCCGCCCCCACCCCCCCCAACACATGCACACGCACGCACGCACGCACACACGCACAGCAAAGCTTCTCCTCAACTCCAGGGCAGCCCCACCCTTGGAGAGGAAAGTAGGAAATTTCTCCCTTCCCGCTCCTCTCTCCTCTCCCTTCACCCCCGCGGGAGCCCAAGAGAGCACACACACACACACACACACACACACACACACGCACAGGCACACACACACACACACACACTCTCTCTCTCTCTCCTGGGCCGCTGGAAGTACCCGGCTCTCCCGGGGACACGGCACAGGCCTGCGCGCCCCTGCTCCGGGGTCCTGCATGGCCGGGACTCTGCAAGGCCCTGCCGGAGGCCCTGGCCCTGGCTCGCCTCCTCTGGGGCCCTCTGTGCCTTGCTAAAGAAGCGCTTTCAAGGCAGTTTAACCCGAACTCTCCGGAGCGCGCCTCCTTCCAGCAGAGCCGCGGCACCGAGTGCCCCCCTCGGCTCCCGGGGCCTCCCCTCCGCCATGGGGCCTGAAGGCCCGCCCGTGTGCGTGTTTCCAGCCCGGGGTGGCCCAGAGCTTCAACCCGCTGCCCACGGCCTCCCCGACAGTCCGGCTGTGAGCAGCTGGGAGCACCCCCCGCTGCCCGTGTCCAAGACAGACCCGGACGTCTGGCCACACGAGAGTCGTCAAAGGTCTAGCGCGTCAGAGTGCGGCCCGCGCCCCGGCTGCAGACCCCTCGCGGCCTCCCGCGGCCCTTCGGACAAAGAGCTCAACTGGGGCGCTGGAGAGGCTCGCCACCCCCACCCTGTCCCGGTGCCCGCGGCCGCCTCCACCCGCCGCTCCTGCACGGCCCGATGCGCCGGGGGGCCTCGGCAGCCGCTCCCGCTCGGAAAGAGCCCCCCAGCTCCCCCTCACCACCCCTGGGGGTTCGGCTCTGGTCCGTGAACCCCTCGGCCACCCTTCCCGTCCCTTTTCTTCTTCTGTTTACGTGAAGCGCCTCCTCGGGGCTCGTGCTCTGAGAAAGGGCATCTGCTGTGAGGTTCCAACTTGACCCTGCCGTGCGGCCACCCCCGTCCGTCTAGAACGCCTCCCTCCTGCAGCCCCACCCCGTCAGCACCCCGAAGCGCGGCTGTCTTCTCTCAGCATAGGTGAGGCTGTGCAGATCTGCTCTGCCCTTGAGCTTCAAGCAAAGGGCGCCTGCGACGGGCGCTGCCCGCAGCGGCTTCGGTCCTGCGTCTCACCGGGCAGTGCCCGCTGCGCGCGTCTCCCACAATCTCGCCACATCCATTTGGGCTCGTGTGACTCTCCCGTTCCTCTGTAGCCATCTTTTGGGGGACACACACCGATTTCTCACTTCCAAACCCGAAGAAAGAACTGCCAGCTCGGGGCAGGGGGAGTGCGGATTCTGCAGCTGCTCTGAGCAGGTTTCCAAAGCGAGGGCTCCCGCAGCACCCTGCCCGCAGCACGAGCCCCAGCTGCCCACACTGCGCCCGTCCTGCCCCGCCCCCGCCATCATGCCCACGGGCCGCGGGGCCGCTGTCTCCATTTGCGTTTTATGGCTAATGAAGCCCAGCACTTCTCACACTTACTGGACACAGCACTGTGCTAGTTCGTGAAGGCTCTGTTCAAATTATTTGCCCACGTGATGATCAGGGTGGTCTTTGGCATTTATTTTCACGTGTGTGGGGGGGTGTGCGTGTGTCCAGGTTAACGCTCTTGCAGGGAGGCGTGCGGGTGCCTCAGAGGAGGTGCTCGCTGGCTGTGGTCCCGGTCCGCGACTGCAGGTGCCGTCACCGGCACACCCCGGAACCCATGCCATGCCCAGCCCTCGGCGGGAGTCGGCGTTCAGAAGAGCCGGGCTTTCGGGGTCGAGCCAGCACGGACACTGCCTCCTTGCTCGTGTGTGTGCTATTTGCTCAGTCTCCCACCCCTGCCTGTCTGTGCCCTCCGCCGCGTGGAGTGAGGTAGATGCCCGAATCAGGCTCCGGCTTTCTGGCCAGCCGTTAGCCCTGCCAGTGGGAGGCGCTGCAGGGCGACGGAGGAGGCGGGAGAAGGGACCACTTCGGGGTGGTCGGCAGGAGCAGCGCGGTCTATCACACCAGGGACAAGGATGGGGTGATGGTGCTGCAGGGGCGGCCATCGTGCCGGCTCCTGGGCGGCCGGGCAGCTGAATTCCTGCCCCAGCAGCTTTGGTGGACGGCGCTCTGGCCGCGGAGCAACAGTTCCGCTTGCCCAGTCGAGGCTGGTCTCCATTCCTAGCTGCAGCGACTAACTCTTGAATAACCTTGTCTTTCTCTTCTTCACCTCAAGTCTCCTTATAGCAAAGCCCACCATGATGTCTCTTCTATTGAAATGCATCATGTGAAGGGTGGTTTCCGCGGCAGACGCTGACCATACAGTGCTCATCAGCCCCGGGAATGGACCCCAGAGAGAGACCCTCAGTGGGAGGGTGTTTCTGCACTGACTTGCCACTGGTTGAGCCCGTGGAAAATGAGATCTGCTAACGTGGCTACTGTGTGTTGAGATTTGCGCCTGTTTAGCACCCAGCGGCCACGGAGGGCCAGGGTCACTGCTGCCCTCGACCTCGATGGTGGTGGTGACGAGCAGAAGGACAGCGAGTCTGCTCTTTTTTACTGCATTGGGTGATCACAGAAAACAAGTTAAGGGTTTTAAATTCTAAGGTCAGAGCACGGTAAGAGCTAGAGCGCTTCTACGGCCGTCTGAGAAAGGTACGGGGCATAATTGGCTACAAATCGGGCCTAAGATAGGTGTGGGAGGCAGAATTACAATCTCAATTGAATTCACAGTCACACCAATTGTCTTAATGAAATTTATGGCCCCGACTGAGGACGTGGAATGGGGACGTTGGGTAGATCAAGCCATCCGAGCCCCTGCCACTCACACATCGTGGGCGTCCCTTGCAGCAGCAGCAGGCTGAGTAGCCACGGCCATCAGAATGTCCTGACCCCCACAAATCAGACAGACAGGCAGACTACCAGTGTGCTCTGGATACGGAAGATGGGGAGAGGCGCGGAAGCCTGCTCTTACTACACTAGAGCCCCGAGTCTCAGTGTCTCTATAGGGTATCGGGCGCCATGACGGAAAGGGGGGAAAGCTGTCTCTGAGGACAGGCCCTGCAAGACGACGCCAGTTTGAAGTCAACCTTGCCCAGCGGCATCACCCACCAGAGAGCGGGCGCTCTGCAGGGGGTAGGGAGACAGACGCACCTGTTGTCCCGGGAGCACTGGTTCTGCACTAACACCAATGGCTGACTACCCCAAATGCCATCGAACAGAACGTCGGGCGATGCCACCTAACCCAAGTGATCACACCCACAAGTGCTGCCTGACCCGGTGCCCCGAGGGCACACCAGCTCATGGCATCCCTGCCCAACTGCATGACTGCGATCAGATCATGAGAAAACACCACGCAACTCCATGCTGAGGATGTGTCACAAAACAGTAGTCCTGAACCCCTAAAAATGCCAAGATATGAGACAGAAACAGTTGCAGACCAGAGAAGACGGCAGAAGCCTAACAACGTAAAAGGTGCCGGTGGAGGGCGCCCTGGACTTCCCTTATAAAAGACATCGACAGAGCAACTGGCAGGATCCCAGCGCGGTGGATGTTAACTAGTAGTCTATGGACTTTCTCTCCGAATTTTAGTAATTGTACCATGGTTATGCAAGAAAACGTCCTGGTTTCAAGGAAACGCTTCCCGAAACGAGTAGGGGCGTTGTCTGCAGCTCACTCAGAAATAGTTCATAAAAAGTTACTGAGGGTGGGGCCTCCTTGGTGGCGCAGGGGTTAAAGTCTCAGCACTAGGAAGCTATCGCCAGCCACTGCAGCATAAGTTCGATCCCCAGCCAGGGAGCTGACCCACGTGGCACAGCAGACCTCTCCTGTCTCCCCGCTGCTGCCCTCAGCAGTGTGTTTCAGTCTGCCTGTTCTGCTCCCTGTTCTGTCTCTGGTGAGTCCTCTCACACACCCCCCACACCTCTGGCCTGCACCCCATTTCTTGTATGCATAAATAAACAGATCTTTAAAAAAAACAAAACAGGTAAAGCAGAAATGGTAACAAGTGAGCAAACTCTGGGTGAAAATTTGTTGGACATGTGATCAGCCCATGAGGACATGGTCTGCACACCCGATGGGCCTCACCAGACACCAAACCCGCCCGGAGAGCTGTCTGCTTCCACGGATGTTTGAACGTTTTTTCATGAACAACAATCACTGAACTTGGGAAATGCTGATCTGAGACAAATGCTCTTCAAGAGTCTCAGGACTGCTGAGGACTCAGGTCCCCCGGCTGAGGGCTGGTGGAGACCAAGAGGAACATGGAATGGACAGTAAAGGGAAAGTTGTACAAATGACCCCCCCACAGACTCCTGATCAGGTACAGACGCGAGCGCTGCGGCGATCTGTTCTATTCCTTATCACACAGAGCAGAGCAAAGGCGCATGTGATAAAGCAGGGCAGGCCCCGCGCCAGCTCGCAGAGCATGTGCGTGATCTGTGGTTGTGGGCACAGGTGTTTTACTTTTCCACACGCTACGTATACAGCGAAGTTGAGCCTCTAGGATACTAAACACCCAGGTGAGCCTGGCAGTGACCTGAAGAGGCAGCGGTGTCACCTGGACATGGAGGTCATGGCGGGCCTGTGGCTGTGGCACTGCGGCCTCCCTAGTTTCTCATCTTCCTCTGGCTTTAACCTCCAACCCTCCCCACCCCCCACCACCACCCCCTCCAACACCCACACCAGTTCCTGTTCTCTTCCTTTCCCTCTGATTCCGTGTCTAGGGAAGTCGTTTCACGATGGACGCTGACCCGTTTGAGGGGCCCTTTCATGAGGAGAGTGGGAAAGCCAGAGGTCCCCCTGCTTGTGCTC